AAAAAATTTCCCTGCAAGGCAAAATTTTTTGCTCAATTTTAAAAGGTGTCGGTGAGCATTTTAAGTTTTCCATTGAAATAACACGTAAAAAAATCTTTTTTCATTAAAAAGACTATAACTTTTGAACCGTTTGAGATAAAATTTTTTACGTCGCGGATTCTTGTAGAGCATAAAATTTCCCAAGGATCTATACCAGGATTATTTTTTTTAATTCAAAAATTCGTATGTTTGAAAGCTTTGAAAAGTGTAAAAAATCACTAGAACTGCTTGAAATTTTAAAATTCTAGAAAATCGCATTATTTAGGCCATTATATGAGGATGTTGACTTCCATATAGAATTATGAAATTTACAGGATAATTAGCCCCTACCTTAATGTTTAAATGCCTGGTAGTTTGGTTTTGTTATTTTCATCTTTAAAGGTTATACAGTAGCTTTAAAAGGAGAAAAATATTGAAATATTAAAAAGTCGCATTATTTCATCCATTCAATATAGAACTATGAAATTAACAGAATATTTAGTCCTTGCCTTGAAGTTTAAATGCCTATTTAACTTGTTGATATTGATATTGATATTTTCATCCATTTTGCTTTTATATGGGCTTTAAAAGAAGCAAACATATTGAAATTTAAAAAACGATTATTGTTTAATTTTCTATTCTAAGAATTTGTTGACTTTTAGAAAGAAACATGAAACTTACGTGATATTTAGTCCTTACTATGATGTTTAAATGCCTGTTTGGCTTATGCATGTATAATATATGCATATAACTTTTAAAGCATCTGTACAAGCACAAAAAAAATAAAAAAAAAAGCAAAATGAGCTATACAAGCTTTTAAACTTTGTGATAAGGACTAAATTTCCTGTAAGTTTTATATTTTTATATGATAAAGGATAAAATGATGCTTTAATTTTTAATTTTCTATATATGTGTTAGCCTTTTTTAAAGCCCATGTAAAAGCAAAATGGATAAAAATATCAAAACAAGTCAAATAGGCATTTTATTTTCAAGGTAAGGACTATTATATGACGATGTTGACTTCCAACTAGAATTATGAAATTTATAGGATAATTAGCCCCTTCCTTAATGTTCAAATGCCTGGTAGTTTGGTTTTGTTATTTTCATCTTTAAAGGTTATACAGTAGCTTTAAAAGGAGAAATATATTGAAATAATAAGTCGCATTATTTCATTAGTTATATAAGTATGTTGACATTAAAAATTTGGCTGCAACCAATTACTATTTTTGTTTTAAGGACGCTTACAAGGTAGGTAAGCGTAAATAGTGCTTAGGCGCATTAGCAGCCCAACTTGTATAATAATGACGAGCCTGCACGGAGAGAAAAGTAGAATGCTGATTACCATAATTAAAATACCCTTTACTATAATTTATATTACTATTTGGGACAACTATCTTGTATATTGCCAGATACTATGCATATTTAGTAATTTTTAAATATCCATGTATGTTAAACCTTAAGGTAAAATATTATTATTCTCAACCAATTTTATTTTTAATTCTTATTATAATTAGATTTTTTTCCATTACTAATAAGTATAGTAAATTTTAAAATATTATGTTGCCATTTTAAATATAAAATATTTTAAAATCGACTATTTTTATATGTTAACAATTAAAAATTGTAAAATATTTATTGTACTTTTTAATATACAAAAATGTTATGAGAAAGAATTGAACCTACACCTCGCCAAAGTTTTTTGTTTTGAGTGCGTTCCATCAACTTCAAATACCGACAGACAGGTGTTTTGACCTATATTGGATATCATCAGTGTCGACACGACAGTGTCGAGCAACACACCCAAAACAAAGAAATACCTGTGCTTATATAACATGGTTGGTAAGCCAACAGAGGTGAGATGTAAGAACATCACGTGATCCACACCGTCTAACGACGCGTCTCGGCGTGGCCTTTGCCGCAATCGGTACATACTATGCAACCAAGTAGGTTCAATTCTTTCTTATAAGTATTACCAGTAATGGGTCAAGAAAGTTTATTGTAGAAACTAAGAAAATTGAAAGTTTAAAATGTCATGAGTTACTATATTGTATATTATATTTAAATATATTGTTTATTAACCTTAAACATAAAAGTATATTTATTTTTACTATATTTTTTATTAATGTGTAATATATTATAATCAGGGGCGTAGCTACCGCTGTATCAGCCGTATCAATGATACGGGGCCTCTGGCTAGAGGGGGCCCCCGATTGGCTTCGACATGCGTAAGAAAAAAACATATTACCCACATGTTAAAAAAATTGAGACATGAAATTAAATAAATAAATAATATTATTATTTAATTGTTTATACTTCGATTTATTAAATTAGAATTTTCCTGAATACCCTCCTGTTTTCCCCTATGCGTTGTCTGCGGCGCAGTCTGCGCATATTCTTCTGTGCTCTGCGCCGCATACTGAGTCTGCTTTGAGTGTTATTATCATAGGTTATATTAATAGCAAATTATAAATTACACTAGTAAACAATAAAAAAAGGTCGGTAATAAAAATAGCTCAGTCCTATAGATTTTGACCTGTTCGACGCAAATCCGGCGCCCAAAAAATTTTCCAAAGTCTCATTTAGACGATACGGGCAGCACCATGATACAAAGAAAAATTGTTAAATAATAACGATAAAAATTAGTAAATAAAAAAGGTCGGTAATAAAAATAGCACAGTCCTTTAGATTTTCACCTGCTCGACGCAAATCCGGCGACCAAAAAATTTTCCAAAGTCTCATTTAGACGATACGGGCAGCACCATGATACAAAGAAAAATTGTTAAATAATAACGATAAAAATTAGTAAATAAAAAAGGTCGGTAATAAAAATAGCACAGTCCTTTAGATTTTCACCTGCTCGACGCAAATCCGGCGACCAAAAAATTTTTCAAAGTCTCGTTTAGACGATACGGGCAGCATGATACAAAGAAAAATTGTTAAATTATAACGATAAAAATAAATAAACAAAATAATTTGAACGATAAAAAACAGTAAACATCAAAAAAACATGCCTTAAATTTTTACAATATGTACAGATATGTTGTTCATGGAATGCTGAAATATAAGTTAAAAGTAACGTCATCCTAAAATTTTCAAATGGTGTATCTATGCAATAAATGGTACCATAATACTGTTCTCCTATTTTTTATTTACGACTTCAGAAATTTTTTTTAAAAACATTTTGGATCTATTTCAGTCATAAACGATCGAAAGATTCTATTTTTAACCAGGACCTTTTTTTTAAGTTAAAATTTGTTGCCTAGTGTTATTATTAGCCTTACAATTATTTCAAATGACTTGCCTTTATTTTAAAATAGAAAACTTTTAAAAGATGTTTAAGAACGGTAAATGTCTAAAACCAGACCAAATTTTAAAATTTGCCTGTACATAAGAAGCTAGGTATACTATACATATATTATTTATTAAATTATAAAAAATTGGTAAATGCAAAAAAAGATAACCTAAAAATTTTTTTTTGTTTGCCCAAAATAGACTTTGGGCGTGTTGTTTTTCCCGTATAAGGGCCCCTACCAGATTTTTGATACGGGGCCCCCTCGAGGTTAGCTACGCCACTGATTATAATATTAGATGTACACCTTACATATAATTAAATCATATAGTAAATATTACTATTTGTAGATAGTAAAATCAATTTACTATACGAACATACAAAACATTAAAATATATATTATACATTTATGATTTAGTAATATTGGTGTTGTAATCTTTACTAAAATTGTATAATAAAAAATAGTATTTTGTATTACAATCTTAATATTGTATTGACGAATATATAATATTGTTACCCTAAAAATTTGTTAAAGTAAATTTTACTATATTTTTTTACTATCTTTACTATCTAGGTACTATACATTGTCTCCGTGTGATGTGGAATATCCGGGTGATGTGGATGTAGTTATAAATGAAGATTCTATTTGAGAAAATTAATTTAATTAATTTGATATTAAAAAATAAATAAATTTTTTTTTTCATTTTGTAACCTTAAATTTGTATAACTTCACCTTCAACCACTGCGAACACTCATTTTTACGGGTGCATAGTTATTTTTAACAAAAACAAACAGCCATTTTGTGGTAAACATTTTGTTCTCAATCATTTCGACCTCAAATTTGAGGTCCTTGACAACGAAAACCCCTTACTTCTACTTTTTTCGAACGTGACGTCAGTTTTTTTAAAGTTCGTCCGCCATTTTGTGGTGGCCATTTTGGTTTTTACTATTTTGACCTCAAATTCGAATTCTCGGACCCCAAAAACATAAAGGAATTTATTATCAAATAAATTCGCTCTCTATGGAAGATCTATGATGACAACAAAACTAAAAGCGAGTTCCAACTGTTAAGGAGTGGTGTTTTTTGTTCTATTTCTCTTTGTTGATTTTGCGTTACCCTCGGCGTTACCACGAACACTTTTATTTATAATATATTATGTTCTTTTAAATGTAAAATTATCTTACCTTATTTTATTCCTCAACTAGTTCAAATTTCTTACTTTTTGTATTATATTATAAACTGGTACACATGATAAACCGATAAACCAAAGAATATATTCTATATATTACTACCAATTATTACTTTATAGTATTACCTGGATACAGTTATAAAAAGTATTATTAATTAAACAAATTCTAAAAGAATTATCAATTTATTAAAGCAGGTATAAAAAGGATTATAAATTGTACTTGTTATTTAAAACAAAATGTAATGTAATAATAATAATCTTTTGGAGTCGAGTGAGGAATCAACACTTTAGTTAAGTTTTATAAGGGAAACAAAATCGCCGACAAGGTTATGTAATTTGAATTTAGAGTTTCTCTCTGTAAACATAAAATTTCGACCAATAAAAGTGTGGACCCCCCTCCAACTTCCCTAAAACTAGGTTTAAAGATTTGATCTGTAACTGTGGTCACAATTTTAAATAATCGATTTTTCTAGTGCATTTTAGGAGTATTTTTTTCAATTAATTTAATTTACGCATTCATCTGAGAAGGAAACCTTTTTAGTTTTAATAATGGACTTGTAATATTTTGAAGAAGCCTTTGGAATTCGAGTTCTTTTAGGGTCCTTAAAGTTTATGTGGTGAAGTCCAAATCGAGCCTTAAATCCATTAATCCATTCAAAAGAGTCCATCAAACTCCAGTGTGTGTACCTTTGGACATTGACTTTGTCAAAATGAATAGCTTTCAATAGTTCTGTTAAGTAGAGCTAAAAATAGAAAATATTAAAATAGGCATCTGTTTTAATTTTTAGATTTCAGTCTTTTCATCAGATTTTTTTTATAAAAATAACTTAATAATATTAATAATAAATTAAAAAATATTCACTTTTATGTAATTAATTCTTTTTATATCTATAAGTTCCCCATTATTAGCATACCCATTTTCAGTGACAAAAATCAAAGGGTTATTGTATGTATCTTTAATCCATTTCAATTCTTTTCTAAACATCGTAGGAGTAACCTAAAAATTAGGTATTTAAAAAACGACTAAGAAAAATTGTGTCAGTGTTGCCAACTACTGTAAAAAACTTACCTTTAACCAGGAAATTGATGATCCAGGCCAACTGGGATCCTTGTACATTTCAGCGTTGTAATCATTCGTGAAACTAGGAGTAGTAACGTTGATAACACCGTCGCCATCTTTGATCAGCCACGCAGAATAATGATTCAAACCTATGTAATCGAAAGTACCCTTAATTTGTTTTTTTTCTTTATCTGTAAATTCGGGCAAACGAGATCTGGATAAATTTTGGGCCTTGCTGTATTTTGCTATTTGAGTTTTCATTATTTCAGGGTAATCACCGAAGACTAGGGGGTTGAAATACCAACCAAACTAAAAAAAAATGTCCTTAAAATGTCCTAAAATTTAGAAACAGAATATTCCTAACTTACATCGAATTGCCTTCGCCTTTCTGCTGCTTCCAAATCTGCACTTTTGTTGCTAGCAGGTTCATCCCACTCCAAATTGTACACAGGGCCTATGATACCATTTTGTTTTGGTTTGTATGTGTTGTTATAGAGGTGGTAGACCTGGCTGTGAGCTCTTAACAAGTTGTGAGCGCATGTATAGTCCATCCACCCCAAAGGAAGTGAGGGATCTAAGGTCCCGACCCCATCTGGATTCTCTTGGCAAAAAGATTTTGGTTCGTTGAAAGTCGTCCAAGTTTTTACGCGGTCTCCAAAACTAGAGAATGCCAAGTTTGCGTAGTCAAAGAAGTAGTTGATTATGCTTTCGCTGTAAAAACCTCCTGCTTTCTTTAAAATTAATGGTGTGTCCCAGTGGAAAAGTGTCACCATGGGTTGGATGTTATTCGCTAATAACTCGTTTATTAAGTCGTTGTAATAGTCTATCCCTTTTTGGTTTATAACGTTTGTGGTTCCCTGGGGAAGTATTCTACTCCAGGATAGGGAGAATCTAGACAAAAAATAGTACATTAAAGACCAGGCGGAGAAAGCACATATGATCGCTGAGCGTACATTTCATTATATAATAGGTGCGTTCTTTTCACCTGAGAACTCAGTTAATCTCAGCTCACATCGGTAAAATTTGCTAATGTGCGCGTTCTTTTTGCTTCACTCACCATAAAGTGAGCTGAGATTTTTTCTCCCCCTTACCGATACGGCACATACTTTGCGGGGGAATCAGTTTGAATTAAGTCGAAAATAAAGTGGAGGGGATAAAGAAATTATTGATTTGTTAATTTTTTAAATAACATAACCTATAAATTATAATCTTATTTAGGGGATTTTTTTGTAAATTAGCTATAAACTTGATATAATAAATAGAATTTGAATAAAATTGCTTTTCGGAACGAGAGGTATATAATAATAGCTATTTACATACCATGGGAGGAAAATAGTGTTTTTCCTCCCGCGAATAGTTTGATGCCCGACGCGAAGCGAAGGGCATTAAATATTCAAGGGTTAACGGTTTTAAGACATTTTAAGCGTTCCGGTTCCTTTTAGTAACCCGGTATGGGGCTATAAAATCATGACAAAATATTAAGTAGGTGATGCGTCGCCGACTACCGCGCATGCCTACGGCAATTTTCATTGCAATTGCCGAAAGAATTGCCGGCTGTAATATGGCCTTTTGAGGCAAGAATAGTTGCAATTAATTTCTTTCCTTAAAAATCGAAAGAGCGATATGAAAATGAATAAGTATAGTTTGTTAAAAGAATGGTTGGACAATCTTGGAGTAAATCTTTTTCCTACAAAATCAAATAGGGCTAGACAAGGTACAAAAACCCTTTCTAATGTAAAATTGCTAAAAAAAAGAGGGAGGAAATTTTTTTTCCTCCCTCGCTTGGGGGTGGAAAATTAAGTTTTCTAGTAAGGTAGTAGAAAATAGCTATTTACATATCATGGGAGGAAAATAGTGCTTTTCCTCCCGCGAATAGTTTGATGGCCGACGCGAAGCGAAGGGCATTAAATATTCAAGGGAGGAAAAGCATTTTCCTCCTGAGGAATGTATATAGTTTTTTCTATTACCTTTTAACGGTTTTAAAACATTTTAAGCGTTCCGGTTCCTTTTACTAACCCGGTATGGGACTATAAAATTATGACAAAATATTAAGTAGGTGTTGCGTCGCCGACGTTGACAACGCTTTGTTGACAACGCTTTGTTGCTATGGTATTTTTTTAATACAAACATAACAGTTGTTATAAGCTGTCAGAATGTTTATCATAAATTTGAAATTCTTCCTACGTTTTGAAAGTGAGTTCTAGCGAAGAAGACATGCTGCAAGATCTTGCTGAAGAGGCAATAATAGCAATTCATTTCCTTTATTAAAAATCGAAAGAGCGATATGAAAATAAATATAGATGTTCAAAGAATGATTGGACAAGCGCGGAATAAATCTTTTTCCTACAAAATCAAAAAGGGCTAGACAAGGTACAAAAACTTTTTATGTAAAATTGTTAAAAAAAAAGAGGGAGAATTTTTTTCCTCCCGGGGAGGAAAAGAGGCATTTTCCTCCCTCTCTCGGGAGTGGAAAATTAATTTTTCCAGTAAGGTAGTAGAAAAAAATATTTTTTTGCAATAAAACTTAAATTTTCATAAAAATAATTAATTAAATTTTGTACATTGACTTAATACAATAAATAAAATTCGATTAAAATTGTTTTTCAGAAGTATAAAAACACTTTTTACAATAAAATTAAACAAAACATGTCAAAGTTTTTTTAAATTTTATTTTAAGTCATAAAATTAATATTCTTATCAAAAAATTGTTGTTTTTGTTTGTCACCCAATTATGGAAAGAATAAGTATTATAGATCCGAAAACGTCTTTAAAATATACTCTTAATTTGTCCACTGAAGATGCACAAAGGGTGCAGGAAGGTATTTTTTCTACTCCTATTACGGAATTTGACCCTTCTAATATCACTTTTATCTATGGAATGACATATATTCCGTAAAGTGTTACAGAATGAAATATTCTATCATCTGATGACAGAATAAACACTCATGGCGACTGTTTGCGCCACAGGTTAGTTTGAGTATGTAGATTTTTTTGATTTGTTTGCAAGTCTATTTGTTAATATAAATTTAGTCGGCTATGGTTGCTATATACATATATATATATATAAAATAATAATAAAAAAGTCATAAAAATATATGCATAAAAATAATAACATAAAAAAATATAATAAAAAATCTAATAAAATATAATAATAATAATTTATTATATTTATATAATTCAATATAATTTTAATAATAAATTATATTTATATATATGATATAAAATAAAACTAAACATAAATAATAAAGTTAAAGAAGCATAAGAAATAAAGAGATAAGAAATAGATAAAAAAGAATACAAGAAATAAAAGAAAATAAAGAAGTTAGAAAAAAGGAGCAAAATAAAGAAATTAGATAAAGGAGCAGAAGAAGGAAATTAGAAAAAGGAACAGAAGAAGGAAATTAGAAGAAAGAAAATAATAAATTATATCTGACAATTATTGTAAATATTGGCAAATAAAACGACTTGTAAGTGTGTGTGGTGTAAATACACACCAGCGACATCTTTGTTTATAATATCTAACAAATTTTAGACCGATCCAACCTCACTTTTTTCCAATTAAATTATTTTTCTATGGTATTTTTTGGAAACGTAAAAAAAGTATAGTCTGAAACACGTTTGGAATTGCATATTCCGCTCTCGTGAAACCGTCAAACTCGCCTTCGGCTCGTGTGACAAACTCTTCACTCGAACGGAATATACTGTATTCCAAACTTGTTACAGAATATACTAATCCATAATTCAACGCAAATTTAAACATAGAAAAACACGAAATTTAAACGAATTAGTGAAATTGTAATTAAATTTTTAATCATAAATAATATTACAATTATATTTGTCGTAAATGAAAATTAAAAATTAAATTAATGTTAAGTTGTTGATTGCTACTTTTATTAAAATGTTTAGATTTAAAATAAAAAAATTTCCAAGGCATGGGAAAAAACGGAAACAGTTCTTTCCCCAATTTTTTCGGTTTTCTTTTCGACACTTTAAAACTCTAAACCTACAGTAGACCCTATGAATAACGTCTTATTTAATGCGCAGTAAAACGGAGACTTTCTTTTCGAACCCAATCATATCAAAAACTGCATATTTACCTGTAGTAATCGACTCCTAGATTCTTTAGCAACGCAACGTCATCTTTTACGTGGTGGTATGAATCTGAGGTTACGTCTCCATTTGCGAAACCGAAAAGTTTTGGATATTGGTGTGTGATTTCGTCCCATACATTGAGCCCCTTACCATCTTCTTTATATGCTCCTTCTACTTGGTATGCTGATGACGCGACCCCAAATTGGAACCCTTCCGGGAATGTCAGATTACAAGAGTTGCTAACAATTGTAAAATTTAAGAATGAGATTTTTTATTTGTTGGTCACCTTAGTAAAACCATAAAGTTTTTACCAGTGTTTACTAAATATTTTAATTTTTGGTGCATACATTTCAGCATTGCATAATTATTAGGTTCATTTATTTTTAAAGATAATGTAGATTATTTAATTACTAAAAAAGTTACCGTAAAAATACAATATGGCAAACCCTTAAAAACGCTTTTAGCGTTTAGTAAAAAGAAAATGAAAAGGAACAAATATTATTATAATATTGATAAATAATTACCTATTGACAACAAAGACACAAAAAATTAAAATATTTCTAATAGCCATTTTTACACTTTTACTAATATATTCAAACTGATAAAACAAACGATGTGGTACAATGTTTTTATAGAAAAATTATGAATAATAATAATACTATATCTATATTTTTTTATCTAGTAAATACTTATTAAGTCCTTAATGCACTAGTCTAATACAAACATACTGTTTTTATAATGTGTATTCTTGTATATTATATAATACCATGTTATAAAATAAATTTAATATACGACTGCTAAGTAAATAGTCAAAAACGGTACCGTAATGATATCCTTTTATTTATTTGTTAAAATTTGTTAGATGAAAATAAATAAATCTATGTAAAAACGTATATTTTAAACAAATTTGATGATGATCTGGATAGAACCAGTGGCGGCTCGTCGTATAAAGCAACTGAGGCTGGGCTTCACATGTTAAAATTATAATATAATTTGAAATTTTCGATACATTACTTATTTAAATATAAAACGTTTTAAAACTAATTTCCATTCATTAATAATAATAATAATAAGTTTATTGTGAAAAAAGTACATTTTACAATTGGAAAGAGTTCAGAGGAAAAAATATACTGAGCTGCAGTAATTTAAGTGACCTTACCAGCATTAGCTTTGTTTTTTCGTTAGCAATATACTTTAGTTTATTCATTGATTTTAGGGCAAACAATGATGACTTGTATACGTTGTTTACCTGCACATGTGCATCAAACCTTAGCGAGCATATATGGATATATAGGCCAAGATTTTTTGCAATTTTAACCCATTCAATTCTCTCATTATTTACTTTTACAAATTCATTGGCAGTGTTAAGCTTTACTCTGCTTTTTTCATTGCCAATTACTAATGCCACTGATTTATTTGAATTTATTTTAAGTTCATTATTTGAACACCAAGTTGCAAAATTCTGTAAATCAGAATTGATTTGAGCACCCCTTCCAACTTTAATTCTAAAAGCCTAAATCACCGCATAATAGGGAAATAGTAATCCCATAAGTTTGCGCTTCATATAGGTACGTCACACATTGCCGATACAACATGATGCTCCCCACCGCTGCACGGTGCCGCCGGCACCCCCGCAAGGCGGGGATTTGCGGGAATTTGTATCCGGACTCCGGGAAACAAATTTTAAAGTAAACGCTTTACAATTATGTTATAAATTATAACATAATTGTAAAGCGTTTACTTTAAAATTTGTTTATAACTTATAATAAATATATTTATTTAGTATATATACTTGTTCAAAAGTTATTCAAGCTTAAAATTACATTTATAGTAAATTTCAAGTTTTGCCGCAGACTTATAACAAAATAGGCTTTGATAGATAATTTTATTTTTCAAAAAATTGTGTAATTTTATAATTTTTAAAACTTAGTTTTACAGTTAGGTACTGATTTTACAAATTAATATTTCTGATTAAAATATGTACTAATTATTATTAAGAAAACATCAATTTTATTGCAAAAAATATTTGTATCTATTCTGGTTAAGCCAGTAAATCATAAATAAAACATAAAAAAAAAATGACATGTTTTTATAGAAAATAAAATGAACTACAAAAATGTATGATCATTGTCAACATTTTGTAACAAGTCTGATGGTTTTACCAGGAAAGAATTAAGCCTTAAATAACTTTTTAACGAGTAGTTTATCATAAAAAAATAAGTAAACTTTATTGTGGAGCTTTTAATTCTCTAAAATAAAAGTTCTAATCATTTTAGTCCATTAATCCGTTAACGAGTTAAATAATTCCAAAAGAAAAAAATCTCATGTACCTACTTAATTTAAATGTAAAATGGCGATTAGCAACCAATAATATTAATGGGTGAAATTTTAACAGGCTTATGAGACTGTTAAATTTTATAGAAAAAGAATTGTCAATTTTTGTTAATCAGTGTAATATACTGCAGTGTAAAATTATCTTTTTTACATATTTTAAACGCCGATATAGCAGCTAAACAAAGCAATTTTTATTTAGGTAAGTTGGGTTGAGTCAAATAATTTTTAACCAGGAAATATGTATGTGGCCTTGTATTTTACAGGTCTTATCGGGACACCTTGTATAAATACTAGAATGTTTTATTTATATTATTTATTTAATTTATGTTATTTTATAAAGAATAAGTAATATTTTTATCTTGTTTTTTTATTTTTGACGAATAATTGGTTGTTTTGTATATACATATATAATTATTGATAGGCCCCCAAACAGCTTTAGCCCAGGGCCCCCAAAGTCAACGGTCCGCCCCTGCTTGTTGTTACATTAATTATTGGTAATTTTGTTATATTACAATAGTTTTACAAGGTCACGTCGTTGTTACATTGTTATGGGTAATTTTGTTATATTACAATAGTTTCACAATGTTACCTTGTTGTTACACTGCTTATTTGTAATTTTGTTACATTACAAATTGTAATCTACAATAGTTTCACAATGTCACGTTGTTGTTATATACATTGTATACATTGCTAATTGGTAATTTTGTTATATTACAATAGTTTTATAATGTCACGTTGTTATTACATTGCTTAATATTTATTCGCGTTTTAAATTATAAAATTTTTACACACTTCAGGTACATAAGAAAATATGAAATACAAATTATACCTACAGTTTAAAAAAAGAAATACAATACTGTAACGAAGTTACTTAAATTTTCCTTAAATACCACCGTTTGTTCACCTTGTATGTAGTTTTAATATTATAATTTGAACGAGTGGATTCCACTTCCACCAACCTAGGGTCTGTGCGCCGTTTTGGTTCCATGATGTCGCCGTTGCTCACCCGAGATGATATAAAAAGCCGAACAGAGCAATTAAAACTAATTAGCCTTAAGGCTGGGAATTCTTAAGTTTTAGAAATTCGAATACTCGTTTGAAAATTATTTCGAATATTCAAATTATTTGATAAATGTAAAAAAATGTAATAAGTGGTTAGTTGTAACAAAATCTTGGGGCTTGTAACATGTTACAACTTGCCCCTGAACTTTAAAATACCTTATTCCTACTTGTATTTTATTAAGAAAAAAATACTAAGAGCAGACGTAAAAGAAAATCATGACAGATACACCCGAAAATGAAGCTTTAAAAATTTAACATGAGAAAAAATGAAAAAGGAACAGAAAAAAATATATAAAGATGGAAAAAAAGAAAGAAACAAAGGGAAAGGGAGAGGCAAGGGTAAATCAACAAAAAACAAAGTTGAACTGGAAAAAGTTAAAAAAAGTATTTTGACTAATTCAGAATCTGAGCCTAAGGAGTGGTTTTGTCTATTTTGTAGTGAAGCTTATAGTGATTCAAACAAAGGCGAATGGGTACTACCCATTCGCCTTTGTTTGAATCACTATAACCTTTACTTGGGTATAATGTATTAAATCTAAGTATTAAATGCAAGATGTTGGCACATGTCAAATGTGTGTCAGGAAACACTGTTTTATTTATGTGTATCAACTGTGATTCTGAAGAAGACTGAGTTAGTTAAATTAACTTAATTTGTTAAGGAACATACTATTGCTTAAAGGCTGATAATTGTATTAATTTTATAGAAGTATTTTTCAGTTTTTTATTTAAAATAAAATAAAATGAATGTCTTATTTGCTGTGATTTGAAGAGTCATGTTAATTATTAACTAAGAAAAATATTTTAAAAGTTACATTTTGTAGAATCGTTATTTTTAAGAAGAATATTTTAGTTTATTTATTAATAAAAAATTAAAGTTATATAAAAAGTTTCATAATATTTTTAATAAACTAAAAAAATAAAGTTTAAATGTGTTTCAATTTCTATTTTTTTATTGGTACTACCTGCCCCAAGAGATGTTACAACTAACCCCAAACACGGGGTTAGTTATACAATTGTACTTTTTTTGGTAAAATGTTAGCTGTAAAATTAATATCAAAATTTTTAGTATTTTTTCTATTGGGTTTCATACAGGAAAAGTTTCGTTAAAATTTAATTAGTTAATCCAGCAGAATCATGTTAAGATATCTTCGTTTGTCTGAAAATTGTTACAAGCTCCTTGCTCCCCTATTCGATTATTCGAATATTGAGTACATATTGGAATATTCAAATAATCGAATTTTTAAATATTCGAATATTTAAAGATTTTTAGAGATTTTTGAGCTTTTGAGATTTAATAAAAACTTCTTATAATATTGAATATTGTATCACTTTTTTGCTTATCAAACAGATTATGATAATATTAATTATTATAAAAAGTTATTATTAAATCTAGGTTAAACTTTTTTCTCTGCAACAAAAAACCGATTTTTTTCGAGTCTCCTATAAAATAATAGTAGTTTATTATGCTTTAAAATCAGCTCAATTGATTAAAAAAAATTAATGGTCGCACAAAATTTGTTTGCTTGCCACGGTAAATTTTTGTAATAGGTTTCTGCTCTGAAGCAAAATCTACTTTCACCCTAGATAATATTATTATTATTATCTAGGTTGAAAGTAGATTTTGCTTCAGATATTATCTAATATAGGCACGTTGCCTATACCGTTACCTATTATAAATTTTATAAAATTAAAATTGCACGTGAAAGCAGCGGGCTTCCGCAAATTTTGCCTACGAATACCTATTAATGAGTAATTAATTACTAATTACTAATTACTTTTCGATAGTGTCCAAAACGAAGCGACTATATCGATTTTTTTTTGAATTTTTTTAAAATTTGTGAGCGACCTTTACAAATTAATTTTGTAAGCTAAAACTTATTAATTTTTTTTGTACAAAAATTCGCTGTGGCGTTAAAATTATTATTTTAAATTCCAATTTGATTATTTTTGAAATTTTCAAAATTCGAAAGCCAACTAATTTTATAAGACGACCATTCCAAGCCCATGGACAGGACACATCAGAAACAAAATTGGCTAATACTTCTTATAAATACTCATAGAAAAAAATAAGTAAACTTAAGGAAGTAACATGAATATATTTAGACATGCTTGTCTAAATATATTCATGTTACTTCCTTAAGTTTACTTATTTTTTCTACGAGTATTTATGAGAAG